AGTGCAACTATACGTGGTACTTGGACAAGGAACACTCCGTTAAAATTTCAGCTTTTCAACTTTTCCGGTCCCCTAGTTAGCAATTTCCCTGCCAAAAAATTTCATGAGCCCGTACATGAGAATCACGCATACCTGGGAGCAGAATTTGATATCTTTAATTTGTACAGGGCTGGAAACATCCCCTTAAAATTTCAGCCCCCCTCCACCGCGACTTTTCTGGCTCCCGAGTTAGCAGTTCTTCCCGAGGAAAATTTTCACGGGGTTGTGCATGAGAACCACGCAATCCCGGGGATGAATTTAATATCTTTAAATTGTACGGGAGCTAAGAACATCTCCTGAAAATCACAGCCTCCTAGCTCTTTTGATTCCCGAGTTAGCAATTCTTCCCGTCAGAAATTTTCACGGGGCTGAGTGTGAAAACCAAGCAAACCTGGAGGCTGAGTTGAAATCCTTGAGTTCCACGGAACAGGAAACATCCTTTCAGAATTCCAGCTTTTCAAGTTCCCGACCTAACGATTTTCCTCCAAAAAACTTTCACGGGGTCGTACGTGAGAACTGCGCGCACCGTGTGCTGAATTTGAAATCTTTGACATCCAACATCTCACGTACACATGCATTTTTTGGTCATTCCCCCATCAACAATTTGACTTAATTACATTTAGCATACTTCATTTTATTTTTTTCTACGTGAACGGGAAATACCCCTGAAAATTTCAGCCCCTTAGCTTTTCTGATTCCCGTTAGCGTTTTCCCGCCAAAACTTTCACATGGTCATAGGCGGGGCTCAGACGTGCGTGAAGGTCGGTACCGCGGCCCCGGGGGGACACTTGACCGGGGAACCAGCTGGCAAAGTTTTATCACCGGAGCGTGTCTGATTGTCGAGTTGAAATATCCGGACAGACACACACAACACATACACACATCCACACACACACACACACACACATATCGGGGTCATCCCAGTATGCGTTTTTGCATTTGCATATATGCAAAATGCATAAAAAAGTGAGGATGAGCTGTTGTCATTCCCTCTGCATTAGAATGGGAAATAATTGGCCAACGCACGGGTTGCCCGTATGAAGATGCGTTTTTTACACAGCTCCCCGCAGATTTTTGTCGCTATCGGCACTGGGTTTTCCAGCAGATGTTTCTAGCTAAAAGAA